GGATGTTCCTTACAAGATTAGACCTAGAGTTACCCTATGGCCCAGAAGTTCTACTTATAAGTGTATACCTATAGTCCCAGAGGTCCCAAGACTACCCTCAGGTTCAGTAATTCACTAGAACTCAGAAAAGCCATATATTCATGGTTACAGTCTATTAGAGTGAAAGGATACAAATTAAAATCAAAGGGAAGAGGCTCATAGGGCAGGGTCCAGGAGAGACCAGGCAGGGACCTTCTGGTTGTCCTCTCCAAGTGGAATCTTGTGGACAGTGCTTATCTCTCCTAGCAATTATGTGTGATAATACACACAGAGTGTTGCCAGCCAGGGAAGCTCACTCAAGCCTTGGTGTTCAGAGATTAGCAGTTGGCCAAGTAGACATGGCTGATACCATGTGGCCCAACGACTCCATCACAAATCATGTTAACTTAAACTATCTGGCATTGCTCAAAGCCCCTAGGTAGACATTACTATCAGGAGCTGGGGGCAAAGGATCAAATCTTTGTTTGGGCAAGGTTAATTCTTTACTGCACATTACCAAAGAGAAATGAAAAAGTATGTTCACACAAAAACTTGTACACAATTGTTCATAGCAGCATTATTTCAAGATAGCCAATAAGTACAAACAACCCAAATGACTATCAACTGATGAATGCATATACCAATATCCCTACCATAGAATATTATTTGGTCATAGTTTTTAAAAAATGAAATTCTGATACATGCTACTATTTGGATGAACCTTAAAAACATGCTAAGCGAAGAAGCCAGACACAAATGGCCACAGTGTACAATGCTACTTATAAGAAATTCCCAGCCCTGGACGATTTGGCTCAGTGGTTAGAGTGTTGGCCTGCGGTCCAGAGAGACCTGGGTTCGGTTCCCGCTAAGGGTGCGTACCTCAGTTACAGTTTATCCCTGGCCCTGGTTGGTCGTGTGGGTGGCGGCCACTCGATGTGTCCCTTTCACGTCAATGTTTCTCTCTCTCTCTCTCCTTCTTTCTCCCTCCCACTCTATCTGAACAAAAAATGGAAAAATGTTCTCGGGTGAGGATAAAAAAAAGAAATTCACAGAATAAGCTTATCTATAAAGACTCAAAGTTAGATTAGTGGTTGTACAGGGCTGGGGTTGGGGGCAGGGAGTGACTGCATATAGGCACAAGATTTATTTTGGGGGTGTTGAAATGTACTGGAATTACATAGTGGTGATGGTTGCACAACTCTATACAACAAGCCATTGAAATGTGTACTTAAGCCCTGGCCAGTTTTGCTCAGTGGTTAGAGCATCGGCCTGCGGTCCAGAGAGACCCGGGTTTGGTTCCTGCTAGGGGCACGTACCTCTGTTGCAGTTTATCCCCCACCCTGGTTGGGTCGTGCAGGTGGCAGCCACTCAATGTGTCCCTTTCACGTCGATGTTTCTCTCTCTCTGTCTCTCTTTCTCTCTCTCTCTCTCTCTCTCTCTCTCTCTCTCTCTCTCTCTCTTCCTCTCTCCCTCCCACTCTACCTGAACAAAAAATGGAAAAATGTCTTTGTATGAGGATAAAAAAAGAAATGTATACTTAAAAGTGGTGAGTTTTATCTCAATAAAGCCGTTTTTTTAATAGACACAATATTTTCCCTGTCACTATAAGTGGTTACAGTAAAAATAAATGAGATGTATGCAGAGGCATTTTGTTTAATAGAATGTGTCAAATACATGTTTTTGGGAAAAAGTTAAATCGGTTTTTGATTGGTACCAAAACTTGATTGTCATTTCTCATTTACCACCAGAATATATAGACCTCTAGCTATAAATATCATAGAATGACCTTATTTTGAAACTAGATGAATTTTATGGCAGTTTCTTAAAGATGTTCCTTTTTTTTTTTTTTAAATTCTCACCCAAGGATATGTTTGATTTTTTTTTTTTTCTTTAGGGGGAGAGAGAGAGAGAAAGAAAGAAACATCAATAGGTTGCCTCCAACACGTGCCCCAACCGGGGATTGAACCTGCAACCTAGGTATGTGCCCTGACTGGGAATCAAACCTGCAACCTTTTTGATGTGGGGGACAACACTCTAGCCAACTGAGCCACCTGGCCGGAGCAAAGCATTTCATTTTTAATCTAAGTACCCAATTCTTATTTTTGTGTTATCTTTTTTTTTTTTTTTATCCTCACCCAAGGACATTTTTCCATTTTTTTGTACAGATAGAGTGGGAGGGAGAGAGAGAGAGAAACATCGACGTGAAAGAGACGCATCGAGTGGCTGCCACCTGCACAACCAACCAGGGCCTGGGAAAAAATGCAACCGAGGTACATGCCCTTAGTGGGAACTGAACCCAGGTCTCTCCAGACCGCAGGCCGATGCTCTAACCGCTGAGCCAAACTGGCCAGGGCTGTGTTATCTTTTATTTTGAGTAATTTATGTTTATGTCTCTACACTCTATACATTTGACCTGAGCCCTGGCCGGTTTGGCTCAGCAGTAGAGCATCAGCCTGCAGTCCAGACAGGCCCGGGTTCGGTTCCCGCTAAGGGCACGTATGTCGGTTGCAGTTTGTCCTCGGCCCTGGTTGGGTCATGTGGGAGACAGCCACTCGATGTGTCCCTTTCACGTTGATGTTTCTCTCTCTCTTTCTCTTCTTCGCTCTCCCTCCCACTCAATATGAAGAAAAAATGGAAAAATATCCTTGGGTGAAAATTAAAAAAAAAAAAATTGACCTGAAAGAGATGATCTGTTTTCAGCTGCTGTTTAATAGTAAGTTTTTAATCCTCACCCAAGGATATTTTTTTCATTGATTTTTATATAGAGTGGAAGGGAGAGAAGAAGGAGGAAGGGAGGGAGAGAGAGAAAGAGAAAGAAAAAGAAACATTGATGTGAGAGAGACACATTGATTGGCTGTCTCCCACACAACCCCAACCAGGGCCGGGGATTGAACCTGCAACCAAGGTACATGCCCTTAACCAGGAATCAAACCCACAGCCCTTCAGTTCACGAGCTGAACGCTCCAACCGCTGATCCAAACCAGCCAGAGCAATAGTAGTTTTATTTCAAACATTTATCCCCTTGAATAAAAAACAATCCTTTTGCCCAGCCAATGTGGCTCAGTGGTTGAGCATCGGCCCATGCACCAAGAGGTCACCGGTTCAATTCTTGGTCAGGGCACATGCCCACGTTGTGGGCCCAATTCCTAGTTAGGGGCATGGGGGAGGCGGCCAATCGATGTATCAGTGTTCTCTCTCATTGATGTTTCTATCTCTCTCTCCCTCTACCTTACTCTTTCTCTAAAACTCAATGAAGAAAAAAATTTTTTTTAAATCTTTTTGCTTTCTCGTCCCATATTTTGTTTTCCTTTTTTTTAAATCCTCACCTTAGGATATTTTTCTATTTATCTTCAGATAGAGGGGGAGGGGGAGAAAGGGAGGGAGATAGAAACATCTATGTGAGAGGGACACATCAACTGGTTGCCTCCCACACAACCCCAACCAGGGCCAGGGACGAACCGCAACCGAGGTATGTGCCCTTGGCCAGAATCGAACTCACGACTCATTGGTTCACAGGCCAGCATTCTATTGCTCAGCCAAATAGGCCAGGGCCCCATATTGTATTGGTTATTATACAGCAAAAAGAGCATTATGCCCAACACTTTTCATTTGCAAAGAATGCCTTTTGCTCCTTGTGTTTTAAATGACTAGCTAGTTTCTTAGCCAAGTGATAACAAAAGGCACTCAGAAAAAAAGTACATTTTGGGCTTTCATTATCCTCATTTTCATGAGGTTTTTCAAATACATGGAAGGTTTAAGGATACAGATTTTAATGTAATGTAACAGACTTTTCTACCAGAGCTATTCAACACTGGGTAAGTTGTCTTAGGTAAGTGGCTACATTAATACTTGATTGAAAAGTGGAAGGAGTTTGGAAGGGGGACAGTAGAGGTAGAAAAGCAGGTACTCTAGAGAAACTACAAGTAATAATAAATGTGAGGCTGGATGAGATGATCTTAAAATTATATTCCATCCCTGGGATTTTTTATCCTATGAAATTAGTTTAAATGGAATCTACCCTGTTAAAGCTTTGATGGTTGCCAGGATACTCTTAGGTGTTGAATTTCTCAATGTACTGAAGCAGAGGAGTGCAGCAGTCATGGGCCAGATTCTCCCTATGAATCTTCAGTGTGTGCTGCACAATGACACTTAACAAATGTATTGCATCTGTGAATGGCAAGATATTATAAACTTAATTTCAGATTGTCTGTAACCATACTGTCCAATAGAACTTTCTGCAATGGTGGAAATCTGTGCTGTCCAATTTGATTGCAATGTGGCTAGCATGACTAAGGAATTGAATTTTTAATTGTGTGTAATTTTAATTAATTTAAATAGCTACTTTTGGCTAGTTGGCTACCATGTTGGACAGCACAGCTCTATAAGAACAATTTCAGGAAGTTAGGTTGCTTATATATTGGAGTTCCTGTGACCTTTTTAGAACTAGCAGGTGCTCTGGCAATAATATTGACTTTTGGGTTTTGTTTTTGTTTTTGTTTTTTTCACTTGTTCAGAAGCATTTTTTGAGCACCTGCTTGTTCAGTAGTTGATGGCAATGCATAATGAATGACAGTTATGGTCAGAGATTTTACATTTATTATACTGTAGGTATAGTATGAGAAGTAGCATTAGAGAAGCATATAATATGGTAATGTAGGAGACACAGAATAGGTACAGCATGATTTTTTACAGGGGCCAAGGAAGACTTCTCAGACGAACTTAATGCTTGAGCTAAACCTTAAAGAGGAGTTTGAAATTTTGGGGTTTTGGGTTGGTTTTTTGTTTTGTTTTTGCCTCTATTTTTGCTGTTTTCTATAATAGCAGATTTTCTATGTTACTTATAAAGCCTCTGTTATGATTGTTTTAGGACCCTTTCTCCCTCTTTCTTTTGCTTCCTATGAGCTCTCAATTTAGGCCCAGGGATATAGGGCTTTCCCTTTCCCCCAAGCCCTGGTGCCTTAACACATCTTTTCTTCCTACAGTGCTCGGTGAAAAGCTGCATTACTGCCTTCCATGTCACCTGTGCCTTTGAGCACAGCTTAGAGATGAAAACCATCCTAGATGAGGGGGATGAAGTAAAGTTTAAGTCTTTCTGCCTCAAACACAGCCAAAACAGGCAGAAGCTCGGGGAGGCCGAGTATCCCCTACACAGAGCTGCAGAGCAGAGCCAGGCCAAAAGCGAGAAGACCAGCCTGCGAGCACAGAAGCTTCGGGAGCTGGAAGAGGAGTTCTATACCCTGGTCAGTGTGGAAGATGTGGCCACAGAGCTGGGGCTTCCCAAACTAACTGTGGACTTTATCTATAACTACTGGAAACTGAAGCGGAAAAGTAACTTCAATAAGCCATTACTTCCTCCGAAGGAGGATGAAGAGAAAGGCTTAGTGCAGCCAAAAGTGGAAAGTATTCACACTCGCATGAGAATGTTTATGCATCTACGGCAAGACCTAGAACGGGTAAGGTGACGAGCTGTGACTAGTGTGTAGGTCTCTCTGCCTAGAAATGGAGGCCCCATTTCCAGTTGTTGTTTTTTAAGTTTAGCTCATTTATAGTGCGAGCTTCTGTGTCCTTATATTCTGATTTCATTGTGGCCCCAGATATTGGGCTTTGTTTAAATTTTGGCAGGCACATTCAGGGAATTGGAGAGCCCTTACTTTTATTCTCTATGAACTTAACTCTGAAATAAATTCTCATTTGGCTTACTTTTATTCACTGTTGAGCCTAAATTGGCTTAGTTATATTTTACTGACACACTGAAGAAGACTGCAGGCTGAAGAGAGAATGGATTTTGTTCAGGAAAGCACTAGATCAGAGTTTCTCAAACTCAGTACTATTGACATTTGTGCTGGATTATTCTTTGTTGCAGGGGACTGTCCTTTGTTATAGGAGACACTGTAAGATGTTTAGCAGCATCCCTGCTCTCTACCCAATAGATGCTAGTCACAAACCCCACCACCCCCTACCACATATGCAGTTGTGACAACCAAAGATGTTTCCAGATTACCAAATGCTCCCCAGAGGTCAAAATTGCCCTTGGTTGAGAGCCTCTGCACCACATAATTCCATTTAACTCATGATTGATTGATTGATTGATTGATTGAAAGATAGATAGATAGATAGATAGATAGATAGATAGATAGATAGATAGATATCGGGTATCAGGTATCTACTACATTGGTACCAAAGGAGTTCAAACATAAGTTAGGCTCTGTGTTTATCCTAGAGAATTTTGTAATCAATAATTATAGAGATGGCTTGGTTTTTTTCTCTGCTACCAGAATTTGGAAAGAAGCTAATAATTGGCTCACTTTTAAATTTTAACTCACATACATAGAACTTATTTTGCAGCAGCACTGTTCTAAGTACTTTATAAATATTAACTCACTTAATCCTAACATGCCTATGAAGAAAGTGTTACTATTATCCCTACTTACAGATAAATAAATTAGGGTGCAGAAAAGTTGAGTAATTTGTCCAGGTGGGAGTATGAGAGAATGAGGATTTCACCCTTGTAGCTGTGGAGACTTGGCTGAGCTGAAAGAGTGAGCAAAGTCACTTCCAGTATCCCAGCAGACCTTTATCCTGCTGATCCAGCACTCATTAGAACATTGTACTGAATCCAGCATTTCCATCATTTACTCAGGGATCTAAAAGGAAGGCTGAAATGTTAAATCATCATTTGGTCTTCCCAGCCTGGTTGTTCAGATAAATATCGAGCCCAGGACACCACAGGGAAAGTAGGTTTCAGGAGGTGGCTTTGTAACATTTTGCTTATGCTGCTGATTGGCATGGGAACCATGATCCCATGACCAACCATGCTGTGTGAATTGCTGTGAAGTGGCTCTCATGGCAGCTTTTGGGTTCCGTCTTCTCTCCTCATCCCCCTCACACCCCACTTCTGGCCCACCTGGCTTTAGTTGGCTAAAGTTTAGCTAAACAGTTTTGATTATCAGATTTGCATAACATGACAAAAATCTCTATTTGCTGGGGGTTGGGCTTTAGGTCCGAAATCTGTGCTACATGATAAGCAGGCGAGAGAAGCTGAAGCTGTCATACAACAAAGTGCAGGAACAGATCTTCGGTTTGCAAGTCCAGCTTCTTAACCAGGAAATGGCTGAAGGTAACCTGTAAATCAAAAATATTCCAGAAAAATATATAGATTCTGGTTACGTCCTATTTTAACAATTTAAATTTTATGTCAATTGTTTCACTTAAAAATATTTTTAAATTATTGTTCAGTATCTCATTTGTTCTAGTCCAGTCTTATATAACATGGCACATTTAATTGTCGACTCACTAGACAAGAAATCCCAGGGCAAGGTTGGGGGAGTCGCAGGTCTAGGGCAGGTAATCTAGGTTCCAGGCAACTATTAGGGGCCATTAGTTGGAGCCATGAAATTATTTTGTAATCATCAGATTTATTTAGAAATCAAAAGGACAGTATCAAATCCTAGTTCCAGAAAGCATTTTATTTCAGGGTTAGTCATCATAACAATGATCTGTTAAAACAAATCCTTAGCCAGAAGTTAGGAGATCTTGGTTCTTATCTCTTTATCTATCTATTTATTTATTTATCCTCACCCGAGGATATTTTTCCATTTTTGTTCAGATAGAGTTGGGAGGGAGATAGAGAAACACTGATGTGAGAGACACACATTGATGTGAGAGGGACACATCTGGTTCCCTCCAGCGTGACCCTGACCAGGGCCGGGGACGAACCACAACCGAGGTACGTGCCCTTGACCAGAATTGAACCCGCGACTACTGGGTCCGCAGGCCAATGCTGTAACCACTGAGCAAACCAGCCAGTGTATTATTCACTAATACAGGGTTAGGCAAAAGTAGGTTAATAATAATAAATAATACAATAATTAATTAATAAATAATAATACAAGAATAAACTCTGTTTTGTGTACTGACAACTATAAACCTACTTTTGCTAAACCCTATATTTGTTGAGCACCTACTGTGGACTAAGAACTGAGGTAGAAGATAGAGTAATCAGCGAGACAGAGACAGAATCCCTGCCTGCAGGGTACGCTGCCCATTAGTGAGAAAGACAGGTGAGCATAATTACAGTGCTCTAAATTCGGAGCTTGGCTGGAATGATGAGTCATGTTTAGTGACATTTGTAACCTCTCTGTGCCTCATTTAACACAGAAGTTGATGGCACAGCTTGGGCAGTCAGGGGTCACTGAGCAGGTATGCAGAATCCAGCTCCTGCCAAGGGCCAGCCATAGAGCAAGAGAGATACCCAGAAATGAGGTATCAGGTAGGCATCAAAGGCTCTGGGGTATTTTTTAGTATCTTGGGTCACAATAGAATGGTGTAGCAGGAGGCAGCAGGGCTGCTTAGCCACAAGGGCACCATGACAGACAAGAACCAAAAGACACCAGGGAGGAGCCCCTGCATGCTATTGGCCCCTAGACCATGTGGCTTCTGATAGATGGGAGCCAGCCCCGTAACTGCTTATGGTATTAGCAGGTGGCAGCGCCCGATAGAGAAGGGGGCTGTGAGTGTTCAACATGGACCCTTAGGGGACAAATTCTGCCTATTGAGGCACCTAATAGCTGTCCTCTCTATGTCATTTTTGTGAGGCTATAAAGATGGTAATAGGCAAAGGTCAAGTCCACATGCAAGGAGGAATTGTTTGGTAGTGCTCTTCTAATTTCAGAGTACTAAAAATTATAGAGGAATACCTGTTCTAAATATGACTGTAGATTGACATAACCAGGTAACTGATTGCCAGTGCTCCCCAGGCTAATGTAGGCAATTGGCAAGAATATTATACTTCTTTTCTGCCAGCCTTGTCACTACAAAACCTGACCCACACCTCCATGATGGTAATTCATAGTGAGGAAATCTTTTTAGGTTAAGGACATAAAATACATAGGAACCACCCACCACCACCTCTATTAATGCTAAGTTAAAACATATACTCACAGACTCTTCACCCACCAAAGCCCATGCAGTGTTCCTGAGCGTTTGTATTTGACTTTCTTCAGGATGGCCAGGAGAAATTGGAGGATGGGGTCTGAAATGTCTATATTTAAGGCACATCCTGAGTTCTGTGCAAGTACCTGCACACATGCACACACATATAGACACACAAATAGGGAGACCCTGTTTGTGTGTCATTGCTAGTAACATTCTTTTCAGAAATGGAAGGGGCGGAGATGGGATGTAGGAGGCAGCACACTAGTGTTTATAATCATTTCACAGACTGGGAGATCAGAGATGAAAAGGTTTGGAGTCACACAGCAAACAGTGACTGCTGAGTTTTCCCCTGCCCCAACCTCTAGTTCAGCTCACTCCAGCTGCTATACTATGATGTACATGCATATCAAAGACAGGTGCTTGTTAGACATTTAGAAGAGCTGGGTATGTGAACTCACTCTGCCATAAGCATGTACGCCATTACTTAAATCAGTTGTTAAAATGAATCTTTCTTTTTGATCTCAGGACTTCCTTTGACAAGTGCGCCAGAAAACTCTTACCCACCACCAAGAATTACCTTAAAGTTAAAAATGCCTAGATCAGCTGTGGAAGACCGCCGAAACAGCTCCACAGAGCTTGATCATGGACCCCTCTCTCATGACAGCAACTCCCCCGTTCACAATATGGGGAACACACAAGTGCCTCAGGAATTATTAGACATGAGAATGAAATCGTACCCGAGGCATCCATTAGAGAGCAAGAATAACTGTTTGCTGACCAATCTGGGCCTTTCTAGGAGCGAATCAAAGGATCCCAGTCCTGCTTGGACAACTCCATCTTCGGAGTTCTATCATGGGCAGTCACTGGGTAAACCCCTAGGTCTTCAGGCTGCCCTGCATGGACAGTCCTTAATTGGGAATGGGAAAAATAAGCCTAACTCCAAGTTTGCCAAATCCAATGGCCTGGAGGGCAGCTGGTCTGGGGATATCACCCCAAAAGAGAGCTCGAGTGAGATGTTATGTGACCAGGATTCCATGCTTAGCTCCCACTTGGCCAGTCAGGGCAGCTTTAGAAAACCTACCGTGGAACACTTCAGCAGGTCCTTTAAGGAGTCCACCAACAGGTGGATGAGGACCACAGAGGGCCTCCAGTGCTCTGGGAGGCCAACCAAGAATGTTAACCCCAAGGAGCAGCTCTGGGGCAAGCAGCTTGTTAGGCGTTCTGCAGGGAAAGCTCCATATCAGGAAAATGATGGGTATTGCCCAGATCTGGAGCTAAGTGATTCAGAAGCAGAAAGTGATGGTAATAAAGAGAAAGTCAGGGTAAGGAGAGAGAGCTCAGACAGGGAGAATCCTCCCCATGACTCTAGACGGGATTGCCATGGTAAAAGCAAGACATATCCCTTCTCCCACAGTTCAATGCAAAGGTGATTAACAAATTTTTGCCTTTGCCTCATATGTTGTGGAAAACCCTACACCAAAAGGGTTCTGGCATATGTTGGGGAGGAATTTCGGTGAAAAGAATAAAATGTTTCCACAGTAAATTGGCTTGCAATTTCTGAACCGGTTTCAAGTCTAGTTTTCATAAGCACATTATAAGAATTGCAAATTGTCCAAAAGGTTTTTTTTGCCAGAGACTATTGAGAACAGCTGGACCCAGAATATTTGTTCAGTAAATACTTTAGGGAAGCTTTCCAGTTATATTAACACATTGATGTGTGTATGTATTAAGAATCCTTGCACTGTTAATAAGCTTGCAAGAGATCATAATTATCAGACACTAAAACTACTTATCTTTTGAAGCTACAGCATGTGACTCCTAGAGCTCCTGTCTGTAGGAAGTTTCTAACTCCACTGGTATCTGGAAACCCTCCTCAGGGAAAGACCAGGGACCAACATCTCAGATACTGACAAACTTACTACCCTTTTCCATCCTCTGTACAAGGTTGAGTTCCTTTCAGAGGATCTTAATTTACCAGTTCAATACTACTAATGCTTCTAAGTGTCCAGTGCCTGTTCCTAGACTTGCTTGTTGGGGACGCACTTGTAACTGTTTCACCCAGCTAACAAGCATAAAAGGCTAACTTGTGGATAGTGTTTACAAAAGTACTACTTCCAAGGAAAATGCTCTGATTCTCTCAGTGTAGGCATTTGTGAAGGATCCCAGAGCCTTTCCCAAAGTGAGACCATTTCTGGGGGATTTGTACCAGGTCAGGGTTTTTGTGTTATTGTTTTCAAATAAGTTTGACTTAAGTTTGGCTAACAGTTTTTGTATACCTGCTTTAATGTTTATAAAATTTTTATTGAGGTATAATTAAAATATAAAATGCACAGAGGTTAAGTATTCTTACCTCCTTTAATTTTGAAACAGATTTTTATTGTCAAACAGAATTTGAAAGCATGTGTTCAACACATGGATATAATTTAGCTTTGTACCAACTTTGAATCCGAAGCAATTTTCTAAACAAAAAGGCTGGAGCCATTTTTCAGAAGTTGCTTATATAACCCTGTTCCCAAACTATCAGCTTTGATTAATTCCTGGGAGGAAGAGAATGATTACATTTGGGGGTGGGATAAACATGTCTGCTTCCCATTTAAAGAAAGGGAAAACATTAAAGTTTTTAAAATGTGAAGCCAACTATAATTCTCTGCTCTCTTTTCTTCTTAGCCTTAAGTTAATATTCTCTTTCTTCTAGTTTGGGAAAGTATAACGGGGATTTTCAGACAACAGAGGCCATTTTAGAGGTTTAAAGTTGCTTTCTGGTAAAACAGTCCAGCTGCAGTAGGTGCTAGTCAGTAAAGGCAAGGGCCCCTCAATGTGGGTAACTCAGCAGTTTCTTTTCCCCACTTTTGTTCTTATAGCCTTGTTAATGGATTTCTTTGCTTCTGTTTTTGCCTCCTTTTCTGAAAACTTCTGTATTTTGCTTATCCTTTGGCCACACCTTCAACATGTTTCTTTCATGCCTATGTACATGTGTGAACATGCCCTAGCATGTATGGGAGGTGTCCTGTATTTTGTTTGAAAGGAGGAATAGAATTTCTCCTATTTATGCACTAGGTTTCTGTGCTTGCTTTTTTTCTCTTTTTTTTTTTTTCCTGGGGTAGATACTAACTTGACACTTTCAGGGCAATGAAATGATAATGGAGCTGTATTATAAACTCCTTCTGTTAGAAGCCAGTACAGCAGCCTATATCCCATCATGCCTTTTAATTATGAGTAAGTGGGAGGAAAAGCAAACATTGAAAAAGTGCTTCAGCCAAAATTCCATATATACTGCCATTGGGAGAGTATTGACTAAAGTAATTCCAGTCAGGGAAATATAGTTGTAATATTTTTACAGGATTTTCCTAGGCAAATGAAGGAGCCTTCAGCTGTGTAAATTTCAGTTGCCCCAAAATGTATTTGCTACATTTTGCTGTTGTTTAAAGTATTACCTCTTAACCTTCTTTGTTATTTTTTTTGTTTTGTCTTATATAGTACAGTTTTCCAAGATAAACTCAGTCTTTTTTCAAATGTCACCTTTTTACCAATACTTTTTCATTAAATTATGAAAATTGCTAACTACTGTCAGTGTGGTAATTTTTTATTTTGGCGTATGGGTTTTAGAAAATCTTACATGTGTATTTTTTATATTAAAATTTTTTTATTCATTAAACAAAACAGATGGTGAAGGGAGGAGGAGCATTGAATATTTAGAAGCACAAATTCATGATATATGTCCATACCAGGGACCAAAGAGAATTCTGGGAACTTGGACTCTACCAGAAATCATGGGTTCATTAGGCTGATAAGACAAAACCTTTGGATCATCATTTAAAAATCACTGGGGAAATGGATCCTATCTATGATCACAAAGTTTGGAAAGCTTAAATCAGGCATCACTTAAATATACATCTTTACAATATTCGTTCTATTTGGAGTCATGTGAGTATATTAATGTTACAGGGGTTATGTGGCGATCATGGGGGGACATTGAGGCCATTATAAACATTTTTAGTGTGTTTAAGAAATGTACTTGCTAAAGATCATTTGATAAATCACTAGTGAAGAGAGTAAAAAGATAAGGTATTTCGACCTTTCTCCCTCACTTCCCATTCCGTTATATTAATGGATAACTTTTGATTTGGTAAATTGTTAAGTAAAATGTTGGACAACTGAAACTACAAATATACCCTATTATAACCAACAAGAGGTTTGGGTTTATACTGATGTCTGTGTTTCCAATGGGAAATGAACCTTTGTCTTTGCATTGAAGAAACTTTTAAACTTAGAATAAACCAGAGGATGTACAGTTCTGGGGGGTTTTCTCTCCAGGACTTTATACTGCTCAGCATTGTTTTTTGCCTTTAAAAAGAAAGGATATGCCAAAATGGAGTCACTTTTGCTAAGCCACATCACCAAACCAAAAGTTAAGAACTAACCTAATTGCAGTTTCAGCCTCTCCAAGACTATAATTTGTTAATCAGCAGTAGTTAGTTAATGACCCTCTGCCTTCCCTTCAGGGGTGGGGAACATCTGGCCCGTTGGCTGTATAAGGCCCTCAAAATCAATACCAGCAAACATCACACGCCTCACCAAATTAGCCTGACCAAATATGGCAAGCTAATTTTTAAGTTGATAATTTTGTTAAGCTTTTTTTTTTCTTAATCCTCATTCGGGGACTTTTTTTTTTTTTTTTTTTGCATTTTCAGACAGAGCGGGAAGGAGAAAGGGGGGTGGGGAGAGAAACATTGATGCAAGAGAGAGACATTGACTGGTTGCCACCCACATGACCCCAACCGGGGCCGGGGACAAACTGCAACCAGAGTATGTGCCCCCAGCAGGAACTGAACCCAGGACTCTGGTCCACAGGCCAACGCTCCAACCGCTGAGCCAAACTGGCCAGGACAAGTTGATAATTTTGTATGGCCCTCAAATGATGTTATAAATATCCAAATGGCCCTTGGCAGAAAAAAGGTTCCCCACCCTTGCAGGGAAGGTGCTCTTGCCTGAAACAATCTACTTTTTCAACTTCTTAGTCCCACCCTCCTTCTGCCTATGAAAACCTTCCATTTTATACAAGTCAACTGAGCTCCCTTTAGCTGGTAGATAGGATGCTGCCCAATTTGTGAATTGTTTACTAAAGCCAATTAGACCAAAAAACTTTTTTATGAATTTCAGAAAGGGTATTTGTTTGTTTGCGTGCTTGCTTATTTATTTTAAATCCTCACCCAAGGATATTTTTCCATCTATCTTCGGATAGAATGGGAAGGAGGGAGGGAGGGAGGGAGGGAGGGAGGGAGGGAAGGAAACATTGATGTGAGAGAGAGACATCAACTGGTTGCCTCCAGCACAACCCCAACCAGGGCCGAAGACCAAATCACAATCGAGGTACGTGCCCTTGACCGGAATCAAACCCGTGACTCTTTGGTCCTCGGGCTGATGCTCCAACCGCTGAGCCAAACTGGCCAGGGCTCAAATTTTGTTTTTTAATTAATAAATAAAGGTCTACCCTGAGGCTGTAACTCTTTTGCAGGGAATTCCATGACAATTCAGCACTGTTAAAGGAGGCTTCTGTGAATCCAGTTAATTTTACCTCGTGGATTGGAACAAAAATTGCATGACCTGAAGTTGTCCTTGAAATTGATTGTCCTTGAAATGAGTGTGGTGGGGGAGGCTTCAGCCCTAGACTGGTGTTCCCTGCTCTTTCTATCCACTGATGGGTTAAATACATTAGCTGTCTTGATAAACTCTCAGAGCATCCATCATTTTTCATCTTGTTAAGGGCAGTTTGGGTGTGAGCATTCCAGCCTCAAGGCCTGAACACTCCAAGCTTTAAATTTTCTTCCCTTCCCTTCACTACTCTACCCCACCTTCTCATTTTACTTATTTTTACTGAATCTCAGATTATAAACAATCTGGGGTAATTAAGCTGTACTCATTTTAACAAGTTACCAGAATTTGGAGACCATTTGCAGAAGCACCTTTTGGTCAACATTATGTACTTTCTAAAGTGTTGCCATGATGTAATGAAGGTGCTTCCATAAATCACACATGGAAATGGGCCTCATTTTTATCATTTCTCACATGATGAAAACAACTTCATGCTAAGAATTGCTGATGTTTTGAAAAGTGTAATCTCATTGAATTCATCACCTCAGCCTCAAAAATGAAAGATACTTCAGGTTAGGCAGTTACCACTTTCAATCTTGCAACTGCTTAGGGAAACAAATATTACATACTCATTCCTGCTTCAGATAAGCCTTACATATGTATTAGGGTTTTAGTAACAGACTTTTCTTCTTTTCATCCTAACTTTCCCTCTTCAGCTTTCCAAGACAGGCTCTCTGATAATTCTGTCCCCCTCCCTCCAGCTTTACAAACAGGTGCCCGTGGAGTAAAACCAATAATGGTATTCACAAGGCTCTTGGTTGTGTGCAGTACTGTGACCACGCATCATCTTTTCAGTCATATTTTCCCACGGGAATGACAAACAGGATCAAACAGCTGTACATTTTTTGAGCAGGCTTTCTGCCAGTGTCCTTGTTCCCCGATTCTTGAAGATGGACTGAGAACTACACTGGCAAAGGTAGTTGTTAAAGGCTACATAGCCAGTATATGGCAGGATCAGAAGTGGAACCTGTGAAGCCTCCACAACTCATTGGTCACTCTGCTTGACTCCTGTGCCCCAGTCCTTCTCTAAATGTTCCTACTCAGCTTCTCTGAAGAAAGCAACTAGAGTTGGGGTTTAATCATATGAATTATGTACCACTTGATCTTTGCCATCCTGGGCAGTTGACTGGACCAGAATTAGTCATCTGACACAAAGGCAGTTTGGAGACTCACATCCAAAGAAGATAATTAACACTAGACAGAACAGGCCTCACATTGGAGCTAGAACCTGCTAGACTTGCCTTCTACATAGCTAGTCTAACCTGTAACTGAGCGTAGTAAGCGAAGTAATGGTCTCCAAAAGTGTCCACATCCTAATCACTGGAACCTGTGAATATGTTACCTTGTGTGGTAAAAGGGACTTTGCAGATGTGATTAAGATTAAGGAACTGAGATGGGCAGATTATCCTTGACTATCAAGGTGGGCCCAACCAATATAATTGCCAGGGTAATCAAAAGAGGGAGGCAGGGACTTCCGGTCAAGATGGCAGCGTAGGTAAACTCGGTATCGTGTCCTCCCACAACCACATCAAAGTTACAACTAAACTACAGAACAACCATCATTCAAAACCGCCTGAAATCAAGCTGAATGGAAGTCCTACAACTACGGAATTAAAACAGCAGCCACAATCAATCAATCAATCAATCAATCAATAAATAAATAAATAAATAAATAAATAAAAACAGCAGCCACATCCAGACTGGTAGGAGGGGCGGAGGCGGCGGTGGCGACTGCGGCTGCACGACGGGCTGGTCCCACACCCAAGTGTGGCGGATAAAAATCAGGAGGACACCTCGGCTGGGAAGGTCCTTCCTGAGGACTGAGGGGTCCCCATCCCACACCAGGTGCCCCGCTCAGGGTTCCAGTGCCAGGAAGAGAATCCCCATAACTTCTGCCTGGAAAAACCAGCGGGAACTGAGGCTCAGGGAGGCTGAAGCGGCTGGAGCCCCAGGCAGCTCCTTAAAGGGCCCACGCACGAACTTATCAGACTCTCTCCCTCTAAGCTTGGAGGGGAGGCAGCTCGAGGGGCACCAGAGAAACACAGGAAAGAACTGAGCTGTTTGGCACTGGAGCGAGGGCTGGAGAGGGGGCTTTCTCTGGGACAAACGTGCTGTCAGAGACCTTTGTTCCTTGGTGAGCCCTTCCCTGGGGCGGCAGACAGTTGCCATATCTGGGACTCCAGCAACCTGGCTCACACTGGTAGCCCCGCCCTGCTGACTCCCTGAGGCCCCGCCCCGCCCCACCCAACTTTCAGGCCCACCCAAGCTGTTGCCACTTGCTTAACCACAGGATTGGCCTGTATTGGATCCTGCTTCAGGTTTTTCCTAATTCTTTCAAATGAGCAGCATCGGGTCTCAGCGAGCCCCATACCTCTCATTAAGTAATACACAGAAACAAACACAGGGAGGCAGCCAAAATGAGGAGACAAAGAAACAGGTCCCAAATGAAAGAACAGAACAAAACCCTAGGAAAAGAACTAAGCGAAATGGAGATAAGCAACCTAACAGGTGCTGAGTTCAAAATACTGCTTATAAGGATGCTCAATGAACTTAGTGAGAACCTCAGTAAACTTAGTGAGGGCCTCAAGAGTATAAAAAAGGACCAGTCAGAAATCATGGATGCACAGTTAGAACTGAAGGAGGCATTAACTGAAATAAAGAATAATTCACACAGCTTCAATAATAGAGAACGTAAATCCAAGGAGCAAACCATCGATTTGGAATATAAGGAAACAAAAACTGCCCAATCAGAACAGCAAAAAGAAAAAAGAATCCAAAAAATGAGAATAGTGTAAGGAGCCTCTGGGACAACTTCAAGCGTGCCAACATTCGCATCTTGGGGGTGCCAGAAGGAGAAGAGTGAGAACAAGAAATCGAAAACCTGTTTGAAACAATAATGGCAGAAAAC